TGGTGGTGGTGGTGGTGGTGGTGGTGGTGGTGGTGGAACTCAAACAGGAATGCGTTTGGGGGCTGGCGGCTCGGGCCCCACGCCGTTGGCGTGCTTGTAGACAAGACGGGCAACGCTCTGGGCTAGCCAATCGGCGAGGGACTGAGTGGCGGACTCAGTGTACACGCGCACCACGTCTTCAGTGCCTGAGGGACGCACAAAAGCCCGTGACACCCCTCCTCCCTCCACCGAGATTGCCGACCCCACCTTCATCGCTGCAGTGTCAGCCTCTCTAACTAGAGAGTCGATCGCCTCCTGTAGGCAAAAATGATAAAACAGTGTAACTCCGTCGAATCCAAAGGCTTTTCAATCTGTATCAGACCAGTGTTCGCCCTTATTGCACATTTTCTCCAGCTCTTCGCGATTTGATTGCCACATTGGTAATGCAGACTTGGGTTATTCTTTCCCGTTGAAAGGGATTAAATGGATGAAAACAATAGAATGCACACTTGTGCATTCCTACCGAATGGTTTCCAGTACTGTTAACGAAGCGTACAACAACCTTAAATCCCATCACCATATCAGATTGTGCACAGTTGTAAAGGCTTCACCATGTTTCCCGCCTACAAATAAAACTGTGTGTAGCATATGGAGAGAGTATGACCTTGGAGACGTCTGATACTATGCATGTATGAGCTCAAGCACCGGGCTTCAGCAAAATTATGACTATGAAAGAGCCCCAGCAAATCGGTGAACCATGTATTTCACATAAGCCCATAGGGCGCGATGACTTAATCCCGATTACTTTTCCGGGAGATTTAAGGAAAACACTTTTATCAGGACTCATTTACAGGTGCTGCCCTTCAAAAATCGCAGTAACAGAAGTATTCCTTTCATCTCCATGCAAAATATTGTAGAATACTACCTAGGAGGGTCTCCTACTTCTGGTCAGTCATAATCAATCTTAAAACAAGTTTAAGAATTTTGACTGACTAACATGAGGCCTTTATAGGGATAGAACTGCGAAAGGAATAGAATAAGGGCATAAAAGAAGAGTCCACCTGCAAGCCCGGCGGATGTGTGGCCTTGCGGTCCGCGTCGGTGGTCTGAATAACGGTGCGATCGGCAATCGAAACTTTAAGCTGACGCGAAGGTAGGTCGTGGTAGAGAGCGAACCATTGGTCGAGGGAGAGGCCACGTGCCGCCAGCACATACTCCACCAAAAGGAGGTCAGTCAGTGCGTCTCCAACCGCCGTGTTTACCAACGACACGAAGAGCCGCAGCGGATCGTCCTCCTCCAGGCTCGAGACATAGTCTTGTGCCCTCTCCGAGACCACCACCGTCCCATGACCATTCGCCTCGAAGTAGACACCAAAGTCGAAATTCTTGGCAGCCTTGTGTAGATGTTTCACCCCGGTGAGAGCGCACACAACGGAGTCGGCGGCGTCGGGTCCAAGACACCGGTGGAGGTAGTGTGTGGAAGCGGCGTTAGCGTAGGCGGTTTGCACGACACCCAGTCGCAGGCGTCGCTGCCCCTGCCGGTGTAGCCGCAGTCGATCCGCGATGAAGGCAGTGAAGAGAATGGCGATGCGATCGCCATCCAGCAGACACACCGAGGTACCCTCCGAGCCCGAAGGGCAGAAAAAGTATAACAGGCGGTCCGCATCACCATCAATTGTGGCCCATCGCGCCGGTGATGCAAAGGGTGCGGCCTCTGGTGGCAATGGTGTCAGCTTCGGTTGCTTAATGTGGATCTGTAAAGAAAAAAATGTGGTGTTTTGGTACTATAAACAATCACGAAAAAAGAACTAGGGAAAACGAGATGTAAGCTCCTACCTATGCAAATATCCAAGTGATGAACAATATATTTTGACTGCAAACATTGTGGATGTATTGTACAAGTCACATAAAAATGAAACTGTATTTCCTGTCAGTGAACTTTACGACCTCATAGCGTGGGAAATCGGCGTTGTTCTGAAACACCTAACAGTTTGATCACTTAAAGTGAATATGAGAGTAACTCTGCAAAAGTGAGTTTCATCAAGAATAAAAAGTGTTTTGAAGCTATCGCGACTCCTTTAATCGGCAAATGCAGGATGGAAGGAAAAGATGAGAGTGGGTGAGAGAAGAAGGGGATGAACTCTGATACCCGCCACTGGAAGTACTCATTTCCATGCCTTGGAAACGCAAAAATGGATTTAATTTATTCATGGCTGACCTTGACAAAGTCAGCTCCACACTCGCGATTAAGGAGGTCTTTTTCGCTGGTGAGTGTGTTATAGGTGCGCAGACAGAGACGCGGACTGTCGGCGGGATAGGTGGACGCCCTAGAGGCCAAGTAGAGACGTGAGGAGAGCGAGGTCAGTGTCAGTGCTCCCACACCATGGGCGCAGTCCACGTTCAGGTGGATTTCACCGCCACCACCACGTAGTGTCGAGAAAGCCTTCACGAAACAGCGAGTGAACACCTCCACGTAGTCCTCCAAGCAATTCGGCACGTGATGACTGCTCTAGAAGTAGTAGATTACTCATTATTGGATGCATTAAATCAACCTTTCAGCACGTCTACAGCATTATGATAGTTATTTATGAATTCTTACACCCTGTATCCTTTTAAGTAACCTGAGCGGTATAAATGAAAAATTCAGCGAAAAAAAATTCCCACGTTCGCCTCACCTGCATGTGGTTCGGACATCACAGAGTATGCTTAAGGCCCTTTAGACTTCAAACAGAATTGTAGCAAAAGAAAACGTCACATCTCTATTTGCGTAGCCTACTACACCATTCAAGGTACACAAAAGTAATGGGCAATCCTGTAGCGTTTTTAAATCATTGTTTACATTACGTGAAACTTCTGCTACACAAATATGGATGGAAGCGATTAGATGAATGCTGTAAGTGTATCGCATCGTTAGTTCAATTATGTAGGAAGTTCGTTTAAAGCACAGTTTCAATGCGACAAAGAAACGCCTGAAATGCGGCAAAAAAATGCATTCATTTGAAAAAAACCCATTTTCTGCAATATGAATTCAGTCATTAGATTACATTGATATTGAAAGGTCAATACGCCATGAAAATTGCAATTTGAGGAGTTACGGGATTTAGTACCTGTTTTCAGCCTTATCATTGTTTCTAAAGGCAATCTCATTAGGTACGTATGCAAAAAGTAAAGATAGATATCAACTTGTGCCGAATAATTAAAACACATCTGATATAAATGATGGTCTGTTCATAACGTTTTATCTATTCTTTCATATTAATAAAACAGGGCTCAACAGATGAATTCAATCAAATAGGCCATACTTGCATAAAACGCTGTGAATACTAGATAACTATTTGCCGAAATGAAAAGCGACATTTACATGTGAGAGACCATTAAAATTTTCCCACTGTGTAGGCAAGGAAGTCACTTGTTTATCTGACAGTCTGCACTGATTGAGGTCCTGAGAACTTCCTCCTAACAGGAGACTAGCTAACCCATAGAGCATTTAGGCATTCTAGACGTGCGCAGGTCAAATACTGCCTGATTTCCGAAATAAAAACAAAGGAGGGAAGGAAGTGGAATACCTGAATATGGACCAAAAAGTGCAATTGTGGCGTCGTGACGAGTCCAAAGTCGATATACTTTCCACCGACTGCCACAATGCCCTTCTTCACCTCTTGAGACAAAGTGACGGAGCTTATGCGGGAATCCCAACCGAAGTACACCTGGGGTTCAACATTCTCGTCTGAAGAGGCAAAGGGCACAAATGGCGCGAGGGATAAATGGAGTCAATTATGACTTTAAAGAGAGGACGATTTAAGCATCCTACCATAGGAGTCTGAAAAGTAGTTGCATAAAAAGCTCCCAATTTCGTTGCTCCGCAATCGGACAAATTCTACTACACTGGGCTCCAAATCCGGTGAAAGCATGCCACCGTCGGTGTCAATGAGCTTTAAACCGTTGTCCTCAGGAGGATTGTGTGATGCTGTGATCATCACCCCGACAGCTTTACCGCACTAAATTGACGTGGTTAGTTGCATTGAGATGACTTACCTTCTGAATGGAGTAGAGACAAGCAAAGGCACCGATTCTCGCAGCGACGCCTTGAAAAAGTTCGGCCTTACCTCGGTATCCTGGGGTGCCGTAAGACAGATTCCGAGATTCCGGTGAGAGTGGGTACTCAGTAAAGAGATTCTTTAACCTATGAACAAGTTTTTCCATCTACATGAGAAAAAACAGATCAAACATTTAATTCTACGACCTAGAGGCTCCATAGTAAAAGCCTAAAAGTCATTTGGAGGACAAATAAGACCATAAGCCAGCAAATTCTGGTGGCAAAAAAATGCGAAATTCAACTCGTGCTATAGTGGTCGAAAAGTTTAAAGTTGCAATACCTTGTGATTAAACTCTTCAGATACTGACAATGGAATGGAAACAATTCCAAAGTAACACGCGATATGAAAATACTACTTGGCGTCAAGCATAAAATATGAATTTCTACCAAATTACGCAAGTAAGTAATTTATACAACACCAGAGTAACCACAAATCGAGAAATGCAAGGTCCCTGTATGAAGCGGGTAGGAATCATTTGTATTTATGATTCATTATGGTTGTTAGAATATAGTTAAATCACATACCTGCCCGTCAAATTGAGGTCAATAAACACAGAAGTGGTGGGGGGTCTTAAGTTTTAGCTTCAAAACTTGAATTGTAGTAAAAAGAGTAACTCGATTATTAAAACTGTCTCAAACACGAGATCCGATTATGCCAAGAGAAAACACCGATTTGCATAACCGCAAATTAAATACAACACTGTTTAACAGCCTTGGAGCGCTTATTAGATGATTGGCTTATTAATTACGGGCTGAAATCATTACAAACAAATCGATCAAAATGGGCAGATTGGATAGTCTTCTTTTATTTTAGTAAACTCCGAAGTTTCGGCAAAATAAGCAGAGAGCAGCATTCTTGGCTCATTGTCTGTTACTTTTTCGATTTTGTAGTGGTTCCGTAGAAACACATGCCAAGTAGTGTGTGATTATAATGACCCCCAACCTTATTTCCTTGTCATGATTGTCTAGACTGCCCAATTTTTATTTTGAAAACTGCGTTGCCCACTCTGTTCAGAAAATTCATACTTTACATGCAGACTACCTGAAGGCCATGGTTATGGCTGTAAACTGTATAACACCAATGTCGTCATGAATGTGCCTTTTAGGCTTAAAGCAGGTACAAATTGCGAACTTTGTGGAGGAGAAGTGGTCGGAATCCCCAAGGCGGAAAATAACTTAGTGTCTCGGTTCCCCTAAACCTGTGATGACTCTCGGTGGCCCTAAATGGTATACACGTCCCACTCAAATTTTGCCGATTATTTCAGAGGGCATGGAGGCCAGAGGGGGGACTTTAAAGGAAGACGTGCTACTCAGGTACTACAAAGGCTAGTTCTAGAATGTTATTATTCAAGTCTCGCATAAATAGTGAAAGAGACTCGCCATGGTTACCTATGTGTTAATAAGATTAAACAATCCTGTGACCAGTTGAAGAAATTATGAACGCCACAAAAGCTACTTCCGCTCTGCGATTGTTAATCATGGTGTACTAGCCCGAGTCTTCCTTAAGGTTGAGAAAAGACACGATGTAACGACAGAGCATGCACTGTCAACGTACAGGAGGTTAGGACTATCGGCACGACTTTGAGAGCCAGATTACCCAAAGGAAATACACGGCCGGTGGCATAAATGTCCATAAAACCAAAGCACGGTGTCCCAAGAGTATTTTGTCTCGTTGTGTTTGCGTACTTAGGAGTCATTATATTAGGGTTTTGTGCATGGCCGTTGGTAACATGACAAGCCAAAAATATTCATTAAGCCAGCATTTTATTAGCCCCGTTATCTATTTCTGTTACACGCCATTTATCCTTACTAGTACAGATAAAAGACAGGTACAAGACGCCAGTGCATGGCGTGCGTAACCCATTTTCTTAGTCAAAGAAGTCTCATAGATGAAACCCTAGCACAATTCAAGTAATATGTGTGAATTTGCAGTACGGACTTCTATGTACATTTTTGATTACTTTACAGCATAAATATTTTTTGATTTTATGATCACAAGTTACATTGTTCCACACACAAACTCATTGAAATAGTTGTTTTAATTACTCAATTTGGACCAATTACCTTTCACACTTGAGCCGGTGGTTACGAGTGGCCGTTCTTTTTAGTTATGCTATTTTGCTGACGAGAATGTACGGGAAGAACAAGATGATGGGAGTTCCTTCTGAAGCGCAGTCTAAGGAGAAGTAATTTTTAGTTTTGTCACTGATCTTTCCAGGCTTGCCATGTATGTCCATGAGTATCTGGTGCATATTGGTGCTCAAAAAACGGCAAATTCCTTTCTCCAAGAAGTACGTTAGCACTTTGTAATTCACTCTGATGATCAGATTCGGTGGGATAAATCTATTAGTGTTGGTGAACCGCCTGGTTTTCTGCATTCTTGGTGGAGGTGTGTTTGGTCATATAACCTAATTTCTGTAGTGTTTTTTGGGATTTGTATAGTGCTGCACCAGAAAGGCGTGATACCCATGAACACACAACCGAGGCAAAAGCGTTCTATGATTATGTATGTTTTTCGGTTGTCCTATTCTTTTCTTAGGGTTTCGTAAATTCTGGATACCCAAATGGTCTCCCTCATGTAAGTTGTTTTCTAGGTTAATTCTGTTGCATCATGCTCTTCGTGTTCGGCCATGCCTTGCGTTTGATCCTAGTTTGGATTCCCACTATGCTTGGTCTCATGTTTGGCCTCTAAATGAGGTTATTCTTAAAAAGGAAAACTGTTTAGTCATCCTGAACAGTACGTAGGGCTATTTTTGGTTTATCTTCTGTAGTTTATTGTTTTTTTTTTTACTACCAATCAGATGTTGAAGCTTTCGTTTAACCCATAAATCACTCATTTAATCGGTGGTAATTTTTAGGAGCACTGTATGCCGGGGCGTCCCATGCCCAATGCACCTCCATTTATGCATCGGGTCTCCCAGCCTGGTCCACATCCTGGTCTTCAAGGAGCGGTGACTAGTATGCCTCCAACCCTGGGAGGTGGTCCACCAGAAGCCCTCGGTGGTGGTGCGATGCGTCAGCGTCCTACACTTCCACCGATGATGCCCGGTGGTCAGCCCCCTGGTCCCCCGATGCATCCCTCTATGCGATTTCACCAACCACCTTATGGACCGCCTGTCGGAGGAATGATGCCAGGTCCACCGGGGCATCCACACATACCGCCGAGAGCGCGTTGGATGGGTCCTGGAGGTCCCCAACCACAGCAAGCCCCTCCTCCAGTACCTCAACAACAGCCACCTTGTAGCAGCGTCGGCCCTCCCCTCCCACCCCAGGCCTCTGGTGGTGGTGGTGGCATTGCTGCGAGTCCCGGTCACCCTGGCACTCCTGGTGGCGCTCCGCCCCATGTTGCTAGTCCTAACAATGGCAATAATCCTAACCCCGAGTCTCAGCCCCCACCATCTCACTATGCCCCACAACAGCAGACATCGCCTGCATCTTCGTCTAACCTCCCCAACGACCAGCAGTCTCAACCACATCCAATCTTCACAAATCGGACCGAATTTGACGGCGGACCTGCGGTTATCATGAATGGTGGAAGCGGAAGAAGCAGTGGTCCTATGATGCCGCCCCCTCCTCCAGAGTACGGCCTTCCGCCCAATTCTGCCGGCCCGGGTCTACCCTATCCTGGTCCCGATGTCAAAATGTCCCCAATGCATGCAGTGGACATGATGGGTGGGCCTCCGCCCAATGGACCAGGTCAGCAGTCGATGATGATGCCTTCAGAGTACGGTGGAGGGCCGCCCGGTGGCGGGGGAGGCACTGGTGGGCCGGGAGGTGGTGGTGGAGGGGGCTTCGTAGGCGCACCACAGCCCCAGATTCCACCGGAGATGATGACTGGTGGGCAGCCGCCGGGAAATGGTGGGTCATCGCAGCCTCCACCGTCAACCACGGGACCGCCAATGATGCAACCTCAGCAGCCGCACAATATGGTCGCTCCAGGACAGGCACCCCCACCACCTCAATACATGTCTTCGACTGGTGGGCTTTGTGGCGGTGGACAGGTTCAGTTCCCGGTCAGTTTGTTATTTTGTGTTAATCTGAAGCTAGTCTTCATCAACCCTATGTTGCTACGTTCTTGGGGTCGGTTTAGTTGAGTATCCTATTTCATTTATTCACTGCCTGAATTGCACCTTTCAGTGTCTGTGAATTTTGTCAACGTATTGGAAGCAGTGAGTTCGCCTTGTAAACAATCAGGTTCACTCACCTAGAGATTCTAGTATTGTCTCGTTTTGCAAAACCCCACTTGTCTGCCTATTTGTAAAATCTAGAGATGATTTGTGAATGAGTTTCTGACACTCGTGGTTGGTCTCTGCTGTTTGCTTGCGTACTGGGTTTCCGTCATTGGGATCCCTCGATTTGAACTCTCGCAAACGTGGGTCGTACAGTCACATACCGCTGCACCCTCAACTCCTATTATTTATTAACATTAGTTCTACATGGTGAGTTCTACCAGACGCACTCTGTCGCCTAGATACCTTTTTCAGGTCGTAAGTTCGCTCTCTTGGTTGTTGATGTACGTTACTAGAGGTGATGATTTTAGAGGTCTGGAGCTGGTTGCTCAAAGCCCTGGGGGCACACCTGGAAGTGCCAAGGTGAAAGCGTGAAGTGAAAATACGAGGCGCACACACAGGGAGTGAGGGTGGGACCATAAGCCCCACGAATGGTGGGATGGAGAGAGGGTGGTGACTCACCTTCACCTGGTAAACTTGTGGGAAGAGTGGATGCGCGTACGCACCCACGCCAGCATTGGTTTGTGCGATGGCTAGCTACCTAGCTGGCAAACGAATGCGGTAAAAGGGGAATGATTAATTTGTACTTCGAGTGTATCATACTGCTGCGTCACTGTACTGAGTGTGCATTTGATTTCTGACCCGTGATTGTTGCGGATGAAAGTGGCTCAAGTCCGATTCTCCATCTCTTCTCCATATCAGTCAAGTGGCCATTTGATCAAACACCTTCAATGGTTCCATTGAGGGTATCCTTCAGCTACCCTGCGTTGCTCCAAGCATACTTATTTGATTATTTTTATGCGATTTTGCCGTCCCAAATGTATGCTTTGTAACCGTCGCATCTTGGCTACTCTCCTATGCACCGTTGTGTAACAGTTGGCACGTGTGTTTCCTGCTGACACCATAATTGACTAGTGATTTCTTCATTCTTCAACACGGCACAAACTTTTGCACTTGTTCTTGCCTTGATGGTCGTGGCCCTGCTAATCAGACACCCTATCTTGATCAGACGTGATCATACTCAGTGATTTAATGTCCGAATAGTAACATACACCATCAAGGGAAAAGATGATTTGACGACTTTTTGCTTATTTTTTTTTGGGGGGGGGGGATTGAACATTTAAATTTCATAGGAAGATAAATGCTATTATGTCACAAATTATTTGATTGGAGGGTATCTTGTGTCAGCGCAAAGCGTCCGCTCTCTTTCAAAGAGGTCGTCATCTACGTATTGTTTCGTGTGCATGGGTGTGTGCGTATGCGCTTTTCATGGGCGATGCTACTGAGTGGATGCGAAGTCTACTTACGAACCTCGGGTGATCAACAATCTGCTTTCTGTTAAAAATTCAACATGAGCCATTTTAGCTGCCTTTTAGGTATAGTTGGCTTACCATGTAAGTGTTACTGCTTTGGAGATTATTCCAGAATTTCGTTACATTTGTTCAGAGGAATCACCGTTCCTGAGTCCATCAGTACTGTGATGCTTCCCATTTGGCAATTAAAGTGGGTTGTTCTCTTTTTCTTCCTGAACGCGTGCAGAGTTGTGCTCGTGTCTAGACGTCTACTGGACATGGTCAGCGCCATTTTTGCCCCCAATTGTTGCCTAGACACACCTGTCTGAGCACCAGCAGTAATATTTCCTGAGCAGGCGGTTGTGATGATCAAACCACCAGTTCATATTTTCGTGGCTTTGAGGTCATCTTCAAGCCCAACGTTTATGTGAAAAGGTTTCCGCCTTACCTGCGCATTACCTTCAATTTTTGCTACTGCAGAAACCTCCATGCTATAAAGGACCACATTAATGCCCGGATGAGCCATCTGTGCCAGTTTTGCGCATTAGAGCCTCCTGCAGTTGCACCTGCCCAAGTTTTACCACCCAAAATTGACTAGTATAACGTTGTATTGCAAATGTCTTCGGATGTTACAGTTACGCCCCAATGGACGTATACTTCTGGGTATATGTATCTGTCGGTGCCATTTCAAACCGTGCTATTCGGCCAGTATGTATTTCACGTACTGACAGATGCCTTTGTTAACAAAAGCCTGCTTTTGCAAACTTTTGATATGTGATCACTAAGTAACGTTAAGTTGTTATTTACTACTTTAGTTTTATACCCAGTGTACTTAAAGTTTGTTGTGAAAACAAAGGGGCGTCAATCGGATAGTACCACATGGCCAAAAACGCTATGTACATCTAGATCTACTAGCGCAACCGCTTGTCTAATGTATTACAACTAATACACGAGCATGCCTGCAAGCATTCAATACTTGCATTCTTCAAAAGCAGCTACTCGCCACTTTATTCAAATACAAAAGCTTTTGTTGTTTTGCACTAATTAATATCCTCCGCTCCAACTGCAAACAATGCTCCTACCTGCAAAATATTGTGCGTTTTACGTTGCGGAGCTCCCCGTCTGTCAGATCTCTCAACTTGTCCAAGTAAACAGGAGATTTGGCATCAACTTGTCCGCACTGCTGCTGTTGGTATTCTGACCTCGTATCAATTTTTGGTGGTGGGTAGAGCGTCTGTCAGGAAGGTGAGAGCGCGAGGGAGTAAAAAAAAGATGCAAGTGTCTAATTTGGTGGGGCTTCGTATCTTTTCCACCTTAATTGTGATTTAGGTTAGGTATTTTGGTACTCCGAGCTAGTGAGAGACAAAAGATTGACGTGGATGAATTCAGCCAAAGAATTCGGGGAATTCATCATCAGGAAAAAGTAGCAACCAAAATCGCTGAATTGTTCACTGCTTGCGGCGGAGCTTGCGCAATTGAATCAATAATCGCGGAGCCATGCAGGTATTGCGCGTCTCCGAGGTGATGGCCAGTTGTCTGGGTGCGCCCAACTTAGGAGAAGCCTTGAGGCCACATCGCTTGATTTTCACACATGGGGAGCATCCCGGCACTGTCCGCCATTTAATCCTCGGCCGAAACTGGGTCACTTAGGTGTACAATGAAGAGAGGTGGGAACAATAACCAACCGTTGTATTACCAGCCATCTTGGTTTTTTTTTGCATGAAGCTGATTCCATTCTCCGCTTGGTGGATCAAGTCGCCACTGATAGAGGTTATTTCAAAATATTTCGCCATTATTTTGTCACTTTCTTTCCTACTCATCACTCTTTCGGTCAATTGTATCAGTACTTTGAGGTAACCGAGGCTAGGGACTAGGTCAGCCTGATTTTGCTGTAAATATTGCCTTAATCGGAAATAATATCGTTTATCTTAAGCATTCGCTTCAGTAGGGATGCTCTGTACGCTTTAGCTACTTTTTAAATCCTGTCTTCCCTTTCACCTTTTTTTCGCTGCTGGTCTCTCTTGCTCGCTTTGACTCCTGGTGATATTTGACCGGTGCGGCGGATCGCCTGAGAGTGGTCACAGCGCTACACTTAGCGATGCGGTGGTGTACACCTGTCTCGATCTTCGTGCTAGCTGGAGCACTAAATCCCTCCACACACCGCGCATGTGTATACGTTGTCTCGGCTCGACCTCGCGCACACACATTATCACTCGCTGCCTGCCTAATTCTCTGTCAAAACGTTTGTGTGCGCGCCCGCGCGCCAGGCCGCAGCGGCAGTAGACAAAAACAAAACATGCGTACACACGTGAGTGCGTACACCCACACACACGCACGCACGCCTCTGTGGGTATTCAGTACCACCGCCGCTGCCGCCACCTCTCGTCACAGTCCTGCTCCTAGTCGCCCTCCCACTGCTGCTGCTGCCACCACACGCACACGTGCCATCTGATGCGTACGTGCTTCCATACGCACACTCACGCACATCGATCGATAGTGTGTTGGCTGGGCTGCGTGCGTACGTGCGTTTCAGTGCACGAAGCGTTGGAGAGACAGGCGGGCGTGTTTGGGTGTGCGAGAAGGAGTGTGTGTGGCACACAATTTAACCGTGGTGGCAGTGGTTGTATTCTGTGTGGCACGAGGCAGCCAGCCGGCTATCCACAGCTGCAAGACGACTTGGTTGACTGGAGGAGCAAGAAAAAAAACGCACATGCCTGCAGGCATCCCTCCCCCCCACCCAAGTAGGGTGGTGGCAGCGCACGTGGCTTAAAATACACCAGCCCGTGTGCGTGTGCGCACATGCAAGTGTGGGCTAGTGCAGGCTCACTGCGATTTGCGCGTCCGCTTGCATACACTTGTTAATTAGAGGAGAGGGTGAGAGGGAGGGAAAGAATGTGGAGGTGGTGGCATTAGATATAGGCTGACAACCTCAGCCATGCCATTTTGTCCGCACTTAGCTCATCCCTCTATTTCCTTCCAAAAGACGCCATTTAACATTTCCTCCTCCCGTCCCTATCGAGGCGTCAACTGCCACTCCCTTTCCGTTTGTTCAAGTAGTCTATTTTACTAATTTAGGCATCGTTTTTAATTTAAATATAGAATGGGTTTGTGTCAACGCTAAAGAATAACGTGGCTCCTTAAGTTCTGTTAAAGACCCCCGATTTTCCACCCTTGCAGCAAGAATACACATTCAACCCGATCTCATAACGCTGGGGGTACAAGCTCCCATGGCTTTGATGTTGGCAATTATGAAAGTGGTTTTGATGGTGTTTTGCGACCGCGTATTTATCCTGCTTGTCTCCGCCCCCTTATCGTCGGAATGGAGCATCTCCACATCGGCCTCCTGTACATTCTCTTTCTCCGGTTCCTCCAACACTTCTCCCGTCTTCTAGCCTCCATGCACATGCATTCACACACACGGACACCGCCATCACGACGGTTTTATAACTTCCTTGAACCTTTGCATTTAGCCCCAGACACTCTCCTTGTTCGATGGTAACCTGGTGCACCACCCTCTCAACCCAACCAGCCACTGACCTTTTTTAACAACGGACCCCTCCCATAGTGTAGAGTCTAACTGTATGTGTATGTGTGAGTGCGACTTTTGTGCTTCGCTCATCCTACCCTACTCTATCCGTGCATCCCCACAAATCGTCGCAATACTCTTC